CCTCGCCAGGCCTGCAGGCGGGTCCGGTGCCCTCCCTCGAGCAGCACAATCCTTGCAAGGCGCAACTCGCAGTGGCGTAAGGGCCCCGGTGGGAAAAGAGGTCATCGGGCTGCCGACTGGCCCGCTCACGCCCGGGCAGCAGCGTTAAGGTCCGGATGCCCGCACGCCTTCTATAAGTCAAAGGCCCAACGGGGCCTGCGGATTCGCTTTCACACCCCGGGGAAACGGCCCGCCCGGCCTCTGGGGACACTCCACTCGACACGCATCTCCCGAATGGGCCAGGGGTCTTGGAATGCCGCCGCCGAGATGGAGAGAGGCTCTCCTTCCTCCTGGCCCCGGACATTGAGAAGTGAACTCGCAGGCTGCGGGGCGAGGGAGAGGTTCAACCCAGGCCCGCCTGGCGGCGCCCTCCGAAGGCGCCTGCTGGAGACCCGGCGTCCCCCCTCCGCGAACGGAGGCGCCGTGTTCGTGGGGATCTCCGGGGGCGCGGGCCCGGGAATTCCCGAGCAGAATCAAGCAAGGGTCTGAAGCGGGCAGAGTCGATTCTGCACCGTCGATCTCGGGCTTTAAAGGGGCCTGGGGGAGAACTCTGGCTTCGGACATTTACACTATGAACGGTGGACTTTGTTTTTTCTTAAGTCAACTTTTTATGAAAAGATGAGACCCGTAGGTTTGGGACGTGAGCTAACAAGACTACTTCATACTTGAATTAACCCCCTTTAGGGTGACAGCTCCTCCCACCCCCACCCCCAAAGCACCAGCTTCTTGTACACTAAACGCTACTACTAAGTTGTTACCATCCGTAGGAAATGCCCTAGTCTTCCTGGATGTTGCAGAGCCAAGAGGGCATCGGAGAAGCACCGTGCGAAGGAACAAGGAAGTTCATTAGCACTGAAAGTCCCCCACCAAGCCGCTCAGCGTCCGTGTACTGTACAAATGGAACCCAAGTCCGGCTGCTGATGGGAACTCCGCACAAAAGCATTCGTGTGTGACACACATTCGCAGATACATTTACACAAACTGATGGGACGACCTCGCAAAAGCAGGCTGCGGTGGGGAGGTTCCAGGTGGATTTAATTTCACTCTCATTCCTTTCCTCGCAACGTGACGTTTTTCAACACTCCTCCCCCCCTTTTTGTTATAAAAAAAAAAGGCATTGTAATCCGATGCTTTTATCTTTTTTTATTTCCTTAACTGCACATCTTCACCCTCTCTGCTCTCCTGCTGATTTAAGAGATTTGTTTGGTTCAAGGATTTAACGTGATTCTCTTGCCAGATTTCAAGCAAGAGAGACTTAAAAGAACAAAGCACAAGGGGGAAAAAAGGTATCTGTTTGGAAGACAAGTTACAACACATTTCTTAAAATGAGATTAATGACATTTTTAAAACTTTGCAAAACAAGAATATTGTGTGGATTCTTAGTCGCTTTAAGAAAAATGTTATTTTATTGTACCTAAGGAAGCCAAGTGGCTCTATAGGCGGCACAGCACACACACACACACACACACACACACACACACACACACACACACACACATACAGGCACACACCCGCACACACCGTCTCCCAACCTATCACCAACTCGGCGCCCATCCGCCAGTCACTTCAGCTGGTCTCTCCGCCCAGGACGAGTGGGCAATGCACCAGCCAGGGCCCCACGGGAGTCAAGGGACTTTGCGTGGGGGAGAGTTTCCCACCAACGTCCAGGACCGATTATGAGGACCCGAGCGAGCGAGCCCCCGAGACCCCAGGCCGGCCGCTCCAGGTCAGAGGCCCGACCTGGCGCCGCTCCGGCCCGTCTCGGGCTTCTGCCTGGAACCTCCGCGGCAGCGCAGACGCGTTCCCGCGCCCGGGCCCTCGCTCGCCCGGCGGACGCGCGTGTTTGGGGCGATGTCCCCTCCCCCTGACCTTTCCCTATCAGAAACCAGACGGTCGCCTCCAGCTCCAGTCCCCGAGGCTGCTGAAGGGGGGCGGGAGGAGGAGCCCGGCAGAGGGAGGACGGCCCGACTCGGGTCCGCCTGCCCTATCACACAGACCTCTGCGCTCAGTTTCTTCCTCGTTGTGATCGCTTCAGATGACAAGGGGAGTGGAGCGGATCGAGGCGGAAATAAAAAGTTATGTCATAAAGATATAAACCGGTGCTGTGACTCACCTGCTCTTAGCCGCAGGTACGAGTTTCGTGGCAGCGCCTCCGCTCTGCCAGCCGGAGCCCGGGTCGGCCTAACGTCACCTGGCTCGGCTGACTCAGATGACCGGGTTTCTAGTGACGAAGCAAAAGTGGGGCTTTTTTCCCTTTTCCAGTCTGAAGCCAGGAGGGAAGGGGGGAGTCTATC